GGAGCAGAGCCTCTGGAAGTAGTTTGCAAAGTAAAAGGAAAACTTTACTTCATCATCACATTTTGTGATGAGATTTCACATAAAAATCATTTTAAATTGTAATCATGTACCTCTGTCTCCTTAYATCAAGTTATTCTACATTTTACATGTCAAATTATTCTACAATTTACAAAATAGCTTTTATCAACATCTTCCTGTTTTTCAGTTAGAGTTTTCTTTTCTTATTCYTGTTTTCATCCTTACTGCTTTTGCCCTACAAAGGTCAAAGGCTTCCTTATATCCTAATTAAAATGTGAACAATATATTCCCCTTTTTAACTGAACCCATTGATTGAAAGTACATGTGTGAAAGATACTAGTGCTGTTATTCATTAGATTCCTCTGAAGCATGAATGTGGTGGGTAATGTTTGTGAGTATGCAATATTTTCCCTGAAACCAGACACGTATTGACAGTATCTAAATAATTGCCTTATAAGAAGTATTGGGAGAATATACCTTCTGTTTTTCCAATTCGATGGAATTACTCATGTGAATTTACATTTAGTTTGGTTTCACAGAGGAAGAACAGTTTCATCAACTAAAAGTTGCTGGTTTTGTTTTTCCACTTAATTCACTCCACATGGCAAATCAATCTGTGCTGTTAAGTAATTCTCAAAAACGGTGGAACCTGTACTAGTTACTATTTGCTACGCTGCTCTCAGACATCATACAGAGCTAGATTACAGAAAGAATTGTTACTAGAGGAAGCATGTTGACTTTGTCTCCTTTTCTGTTTTTACATGCATTACGGTCTTACCAGAAATTACCTGTATTTGCCAAAATGTAAAGAACTGTTTCTATTCTGGCTTTTTAACTTGCCTTATAGGATCTTCTTAAAGTAGGTAACATTAATTCTGGTTGTTGAATCTGTTTCAAATGTTTATCTCATTTTATTTTTATAAGGAATGTTTTGTAAGGTGAGGAGAGACCCAGTCTTGAGTCATTGTAGGGAAAAAACCTTAATTGTAAATCCTGACTTTTTTTCCACTTTATTGTTTTGCATACATTAATGAAAGACTGCCTAAAGTAGCCCCAAGGCAAATAAAGAATGGCACCATTCAGTTGGAGACACTGTAGTGTAATTCTTCAAGGTTACATGCTGTGTATAGGCTTTTTTCAACTTTCTTGACTTTTAGACTCAATAAATGCTTGTATCAAGGTGACTACCTACAGCTGCTCATGCCTTAAAATGATAATATTATTGTTAATGAACTAAAATTATCTAGGAGGAGGAGAATATTCAAGAGGGTATTTGACAAAAGATACTAATCTCTAGCCTTGATCCTGGAAGGCAGCCTGCAAGTACAGCAAAATATGGGCTTTTCAAGAGACATTCAATGTCTGCATCTCTCTCTTTCTATTCAGACTAGCAATGATAATTCAGAATGAGCAGAGTCAGGTCAATGTTGAATATATATATATATATTAAAAATATAGAAAAATATATAAAAAAATATATAAATATATATAAATAAATATAAATATATATATATATATGTATGTATATTTAAATCCTGCCATCAAAAGACATTAGAAAGCTTGCAGGAGTATGTGGGAGTTTAGTAGCCAGGACTTACACAGCAGTTTGCACCACTCTGTGCCCGCTTTAGAAGAATGACAACCTGACCTTTACAAGCTTTCCTTGACCTAGCTGATGACTGTAACTCACCAAAGCAGGTGTTTCTGTGCTGGAGTTGCATAAATGGCCTGTGCTTTAGTCTCTTCTCTTACATAATGATGCTGGAGAAGAAAACGTGGCTTTGGTTTGAAACGTGCTTGTGGCTGATTGGATTTCTTTGGGAAATGGCAATGTCTTTGTGAACTTAATGGTGAAATAGAAAGGTAGTCTTGCCAGAAGGATAAGTCTAGAATATGTGGACCTCTAGTAATGCCTGTATTCTCAGACAGTAATTAGTACTATTGAGGTTTGTCAGCGAAGCCAAAATGTGTATTGACTATCTGTAACCCAGACTCYGGTGATCTGAATTCTACTACACAAACCTGTTTTGATGATCAGGTCAATTAAACTTAATACACCTTGCTAYTGCTTCTCAATGAGAATAACAATTAAATACAGGGGTTTTTTGTATTAAATAAGGGTTTAAAAAAAAAAGTCTAGAAAGTGGTAGATTTAAGCCAACATTTCTCTAGGGAAGAGAGCAGTCCTTCCATAGAAAATACTCTTTTCTCCAGCCAGTTTTAGTYAGTGGGTTGCCCAAAGGCTGCAAAACCTCTGCCTGTGGAGGTATTCAGTACTCGATGGGACAAACCCCTGTCTGAGCAGACTGATCTAAGCTGGCTCTGCTTTAGCCAGAGGCTTAGCCCAGATGAACCCTAGAGGTCCCTTCCACCCTAAATGAGTCTACAGTTTCCTGATTCTAATAAGCACTTTGTCACTTTGTCACTGGGTTTGTGCTATTCTGAAGACCTCCAAGAATGCTGTCAGTGASCAGAAGAAATTATGTTTTTTATAGACATGTCTCGTCAATAAATCAGTTCAAAACAACCAATTTGTTTGAACATTGGTGGCATGACAATTATTGCATGGTAATAACTACAGCCACTGGTGCTGCAGGTCGATTCCAAACATTTATTGCATTTATGTGTTTGCTAAGTGGTTTGTCATTGGTCTGCCCCCTTAATTCTTCTGGTTTTTTTTTCTTCATCATCTGGACATCACTTTATAGCAGATTGCTCATGTCAATAGTTGTCTTATTTAAGTTTCCAAGGGGAGTAATGTTACATTGATTTTTGTTTCCGTGTTCCCATAGTGTGAAATTGAGTTTACTTCTCCAAATCATTTAATGAGCCAACCCTTAAAAGTCAATTACAATAGAATAATGCTCCTCTATTCTCAGTTGAAACATTTATAAGTTGAAGGATACTGAGTCTAAATACTAATCTAACCAAGAGAGTTTAGGAGATTCCATTCAYTGAAGTATTTTTGTAATGAAGATGGTCTTCATGGTATCTTTTTTTCCAGATATTTTGATTAGCTATTTACTCCTTAGATTAAATGAATGTGACATTTCATTCAATTCATCTTCCATCTATTTGTTACTCTCTTTCCACTCTTGTTTTTGCCAGTCTTGCTTTTCTCAGCCTTGCTTAGTGTTTTCCTTAGCATGAGAAAACCCAAGAGAAATGGAATTTCATATTAATAATTTAACATTGCTACTTCTTTTTTTCTGAATACAACTGAACCTGCCAAATTTATTTTTAGTAGATTTTCTGTTGGCTAGATCTTCTGTTGACAAAGCTGATTTTCATTTTGAAAACATTTTGATATGCAAACATTGTGACACTGAGTAAAAAAATACTCTTTATACATCTGTGTTGTGATAACTATTTGGAAGTTTTCCATGTTTCTGCATGAAAACACGTAACASGTGAGATACCAAATTTAGATAGTTTTCACCTGTGAAACAGCATCTTCACAAGTCATGTTTGGCTCCCATATCTTGTATAACTTAAACTACAACATGCTGGAAAATACCTATAAGCTTCCTGTTTAATAGCCATCACTAAGTTCATAAGTGGTTTTTAATAAATTTCCTCTATTTCTCAGTTTGTATTGATGTTARTACTGTAGTTTTTTCTGCATGTAGGGCATATTTGATGGTTCTTTTGAGTTTTGGTGGATTTTGTTTTGTTTTGTTTTTTAATCCAAGCTGTTTATCACAAAATTGCCACTCCAGTGCTGAGTTAACCTCACCTTTGAGAGAGAAGTTTGCAGGAGATTTTTAGAGTAGCAGAATTTTGTGSTATCTACTTGCTAAGGTCTCATGGGAAAATAAAAGCTAATTTGTGAAATGGACCTATAAAGAAAAACATAATTAAAGCCTGATTTAGAATCCATGAAAGTCAGTGGAAACAGTGCAAATGAATTCATTGTCTCTGAAGCAAGTGTCTTGGGGGCATTTTGTTGTTCTTGTATCATTTTGTATTGAAATATTTTTCAGAAATTAATCACCAAAGAAGAAAGATTTTTTTCTGCATTTTTTAGCTCYAGGAAGTCGCTCATTCCTTTATATGTTATATCTACTTTTGTATGCAGCCCAGTAATATTTTGAGTACTAATATTTCCCTGTATCCATTATGATCCAATATTGCATTTGTTTAAAAAAAATGTTAACTCTATAGTAATTTAGTTTGGGTTTTGGGGGGTTGGTTTGTTTGTTTCCTTTGGGTTTTTTTCGGTTTTGTTTTTGGTTTTGGTTTTTGTTTTGTTTTTTTTTTTTTTGATGTGCTAAAGAAAATCACGTATATGAATCTTAGCTGTTGGAGTTTTCATTCCTGTCATGTCACAAACTATTAATATTTTTTAGCTGCTCTAAGGAAAAATTCAATGATTTCAGTATCTATCAGGATTGCTGAGGGAGAACCTAGAATTTATGTGAGCAACACTCAATTCAGTACAATGTCTAAAAAACTAGGAAATCATCCCCAAGGCTAACTAACAGTTTTCTTGCCTGGTATTCTGTCRTCATACTTTGTTCTTCTTATGCTAAGTACGCCTTTACCCGTTTCTTGGAATGCCATCCATTTGGTTGTCTAAAATTGTATTGTATGTAACTTTATGAACATTTCATTAGTATTCATTAGAATTTGAACATTTCATCTTCCAGTATCATCCTGTGGCTCTCTGTGTTCCCGCGTCAGCTTCAGCCAAACCTGCTGTAGCCTTCTTGTAGGGCACTGTGTCTCCTCCCGAGTGCAAACAGAGCTAWATTTCCCCTCTTGCCCTCTTTGCTGCACATCCTCTGGTCTTTGACAGCTCTGTCAGGTAGCAGCAGTGCTGCTGTGCATGCCCTGAGCTCACAGAGTACTGTTGGAACTACACATTTGAGGAAGAATCAGGAACTGGGAAGGATGACACATCACATTGACACTGACTATGATTTCTTTCTTTTTCACTTGAAAAAGTAAGCCCTGGTGGCTGTTTTGTTTKTCTTTTTCAGTCATCCATAACGAACAGTGACGTCATGTTTGTGAAACTGCATGCCCCCTGGGAGGTCCTAGGCAAATATGCTGAGCTAATGAATGTAAGGATGCCTTTCAGGTAGGTGTAGCTATATTTCATCTCAACCTCCARAGCCACATTGTACTGTTCATTTAATGGGATATTAACACCAAAATGCCTATAGAAAAGCTCTTCTGTAAGATACCACACACTTTTAGAAAGTATAAATGGAGTACCTTAGGTACCACATTCATTGCTGTTTCTTGTTAAAGCCTAGGATTTCAGTACAATACTGGTTTGAGATTAAGATGGGCTGTAGCAGTGCAGCTGTTTTCATGGGGTGTTCTGTCCTTAGGCCCTTTAACCCCTTCAATGCTGGAGCCCCCTGCATACTTGTGCGCTGCTGTTTTTTAAATGGACATTTCATTGAAATCAATGGGAGGTCAAGAAGATCCAGGTACGTAAGGCAGCACAGAAAGTGCATGTCTGTTTGACGTATCTGGTATGCACCTTTAAATTGCTTGTATAGTATGTAATTAGGATCTCATAATTAAGTATAAATAAATAAGTATCCCATCTAAAAGGAAAACACTTTAAAGTATAAATGTTTTTTTCTGTGGAGAAAGTAAAAGGAGACATTTCATATTAAATGCTGCTGATAACCAGACTGATTCCACATTGAAATTCAGATTGTTTTTATAATTAATTAAATATTATTTGCATGTTGGGCTATGAAATTTTCTMTGTAAAATGTTGCTTTTACTCTGCTGGTTATCTGAACTTTTAAAGTAGCATAAAGACTTCCACTGGAACTGACTGCAACCCATGAACTGAGAGGCCTTGATTTTTCTTTCARTTAGTAGGGTTTGTAACGTAAATCTCCATTGATTTTAATGGAATTTCTCCTGAACAAGAAAAGGCCCAGATTCAGATTATGCAACTAGTGAGCTGGTGCCTTTGTAGGATTCCTTCTGCTTTTTTCTTACCTAAGGATGAAAAATGCCTCTGGTATGAGACACCCTGTAGCAGTRGAAAGCTCGTAAGGAAAAATGGATATGTAGAAATGACAAAATTGCAGGCTTATTTTGCATTTATTTTGTTTTCATCTTCACAGCWAATCTGCAACTGTTCTTCCTTACGCTTTTAATGCTAAAGAGAAAATTGTCAAAGCAAACACAAGTCATTGCACAGTAGTAATAATCTCCTTTAAAAATATTCTAGCCATGGAAACAATGGATTAGTCCAAAAGCATGCCTCCTTTGACTTTTGTGGCATTCCTTGAGAGGGACCTGCTCCAGCAATAGATTTTCAGAATTCTCAAGTCTCGTGATTCAGAAATACACCAGGAACTTTGAATTTAGTAATCAAGCAGCTCATTCTTTTCTATTCACTCAGTGGACAGAAAAAGTCAGTGTCATACAGATTATATAGAAAGCTTTGAAAATACTAAAGGTTTCTTCATCTGCATCAAGATCATGGCTTTATTCTTTCCACACCCATAGAGAGAGAATTATTACTGCTTTGTTAAAAGGAAATCATGGTAATTCACCAATGACTGCTGGGCAGGCTCTTCAATTTTTTTTAAAAAAACAATAATACAATTTACCATTTCAAAAAAATTTTACAAAATGTCCACAAGTCTGGATGGTGTGTTTCCAGATGCCTTTGTCTAAGCCCTTGTTTTAAGAGCTGCTGATGGCTTCTTGCTCCTGATATTTCAGGCTGGATTTGTGCAAGGTCCATGCATCACTGAATGAAATCCTTGTTGTTTCAAAGAAGGAGTGACAAAATGGTGGATATCTCTTTATACTGGAAGCAAAATCAAGAAGTGGATGACATCTTCAGAAACACTTAGCTTTGACCATTCTCTGCTCCTACTGAGTAGAACAAGATAAATAACACTATCCAAAGAGGGCTGGCCAACATGAAATAGTTTTGAAAATTTTACTTTGTGAGCATAGTATGGACTCTGATAACAAAGAYGTCAAAAAGTTCTGAAAATTAACTTGGAATACTAACCAATTTTTTTCTCTATCATTCATAAAGCATTAGTGCTGTCTTGCTGTTTTAGAGGACTTGCTTCCAAGGCAATAACAGCTTTCCTACATTACATCTAGTGTACACCAGTATTCAGAATATGTGTGGTGTGAGCCTTCACTTTCCAGAAGTGGWACAGTTCTGCACTACACAATGGAACCTCTCAGAATACACAGAAACCACCTTGGTTTAACAATGACCTTCAGTGGATGACAAAGTCAGCCTCTGGAGGAGGAAATCAGAGTTTGGGCAGGCACTCAAATCTTKCAGTAAGGAGTATGAGTCCCAAATCCACACTCAAGAACCCTCAGATTTTCTTAACTCTCATGAAGACGTGATCTCTGTGCTGAARGCAGTGTGACAAATCCTGACAGCTCTGGTATGATAGGCATCTACAAGAAGAACAAGAGCTGCCGGAAGGGGAGTGGAACAGGAGGTGGACTCCCWGTCCTGGATCTACATATGATGGTTAGGGGCTGCTCTGCACTGCAGGGCTGGTCAGGAAGCAGGCTGCTAGTGGGTTCAGCATGTGTCTGCTCTTGTCCCCTTGTCTGCTCACTTGCTCATCGTTTGCTCTCACACACGGCTTRTTGCACTGCTGACAGAAACCCGCCTGTATGAGCGGCAGAGGCAGTGGCTGCACACTCGGCGGGGTGCTGAGCACATGTGCATTTGCTTGTGTGTCCAGTATTCTGTTTCAAGAGATGTGATCCCAGCAGCAATCACCAATTTCGCTTTGTACTGCATGTATTATAGCATATTGCAGCATAAGGTACAGCTCTCCTGGCTTCTCTAAATGATTCCCCCTCGTGTTTCACCAAATGCAGCTTTAATAATCCTCTAGTAGATGTCAGATAATTTATCTATATTTGTGACAGTTCTCTGGAACTCCTGCTACAGTTTATGGACTTCTCTGAACTAGAAACAACTTTGGATCCCAAACATGACAAATAGCAGAAAAGGAGGAGACAGTGGGAAAAAATGATGACCTTCTGGCAATTCAAATGCCAGGCAGTGTCTGTGTGGCTTCCTGTGACAGTTCTGTTAATCTCTCTTTTAGTCTCTTCCTCCACCTCTTACAGGCTTCTGTCTTCAATTTCCTTTCCTTCCTTGCTAGTTCATACTGTAACTGACGATGGGTTTTCTTCTCGACTGGCTTCATTTTTGCTGTTCTTCCAGGAGAAAAATCTATTACCTGCATCGTCGATACAAGTTCATGAATAGGTGAGTACAATTCTCATGCCAGTCCAGTTTATGTTCATTTAGACCCAATAACA